CTTTGACCTACATCAATATAAAATCTAGAGAATTGTATTTTCTATGAATTTTTGCATTGAATTATATAAACACATTATCAAAGCCTTTTACACGGGCTCCTTTTCAATGGTAAGGGCAAACTAATAGATATAATGAGGGGGAGAGAGAAAGATTATCATATTTTATTGAATTTTCTTTAATCCTCTTTTAGAATTTTCTTTAATCCTCTTTTAAAAGAGTTGTAATACCCAACTTGAAAAGTATCATTGCTCATCATTGGTTTGGAAGATCTATTTGCATAAGTAACAATTTTTTGGTAAGAACAATTTTGTGCTCCCGCTTTGATAATGTTGCATCAAAGTATAAAAACTCCCTTGATAAATGACAATAACAAAGATAGTTTTATCACAATCCTCTAGAAGAAGCACAAATGATAGAAATTAGCTTTCTTAGAATTACACCTCCTAAATAAAGATGCAAAAAAATCGGAGTAACCAAGCCACAAATCTAAGCTAGGATATACCCAAAAATCATTCATTCATATATCACACCAAAAGTTAAAAAATATATATTATTTGCATCTCCATCTAAAAAAAAAAAAAACCAACAGAAAGACAAACATAACATTTCTGTTCCCAAGGATCATAGGGGAAAACATACCTTACGAATCAGAAGGAAAATTGAAATGTTAGGGCTCGCGGGAAGGAAGGAGAGGGATATCGGGTATACCTTGCGCGATCTCAGCGAAGGAGAGGAGGATCGGCGAGCCGAGAGAGATCTGCCAGGCGAGGCGTGCGATTCTCCTGGAAAGCGCGCCGATCTCCTGGTTGAGCAGAGGAGATCGATTTTTCTGCCGATTCTCCAAGGGCGATGGCGTGGGAGCGAGGTGATCTACGATTCTCCAAGGGCGGCGAGGGAGCGAGGCGAGGCTTCGAGCGAGATTTGCGAAGGGCGGCTCAGGGATTAGGAAAATTGATATGCGGGACGCAGGAGGCAGACAACTTACAAAACCACGTAGAAAATAACGATAAAAAAACGCCGCGACACCAAAAAATTAGACCAATCGAGGTAGTCAAAAGGGGAGGCGGCTTTTTGAAAACGCTGCCGCACCCTATAAGCTGCCCTAAACGGGCACTTAGTCATTTTCTATATACGTGTTGTATTAAGGATTGGAAATCAATTTTTTTGGCATGTTTTGTATCGGGACAACTACTGACGTCTCTTCTTCCCTTTGAGAGCTGTATCCTAGAGTTCCAAGTGGTGTTTTGGCTATATCTTGGTTTCAAGGTGAAGATTATTACATCTCGTCGCTCCACATTGTCCTTCCCTTCTGCAGCTGCCCTCAAGACAACAACTTTTGTTGTTTTTCATTGCAGGCTTCCCACTTGAGCCCTTCTTGCTTGCTGCCCCCATTCTGGACAGTCGTCCCTTGCTGCTTGCAGCCCCTCGCTTCGTTCCTTGACCGCTGTCATTCGAAAAACAGTAAAAAAATAGTAAACCTGCTGTCCTCTGGCTGTTCCAACCTTTCCTACCGTGCCTCCCCGCATTATTTGCTGCCCTTGCTGTCCCAGCATTCTGCTTCGCTGCCAACGCCAATTCAGCCCCCTCTTTGGCTATCCCAACCACTTACAATCTCATTTCAGCCATCTACCTTTGCTCTCTCAACCACCTAACCGACCTTCACTACCCATGGGTCGAACCCTAACGCGACTTCGTGTTGTGTTTGTTGTAATTTTCCTTTCTAGTTTGTTGATTGTAAGTACCTATTTTTTTCATTAATAATGTATGTTTTTTCTATTGTGTTTTGGGTTAACTCCGATATCATTTTGTAACAGAGCTAACCCTAGTTCTATCTTTGGGCTTCCTAACATCCTCCTTAACTCCTCACCAAAAATTTTATATTTTGTTCCCAAACCTTAGACACCCTTAGACATAACCCTACTTTTCTTTTGTTGATTTTCAAACAAATTAATTTTTCGACGCTGTCTATCAGTCTTCTACAATCTCTTTCATCTCTCAACTATAAATTCTAACCATGCCACCATGTAGATACATAGTTGAGCCTACCCGGGAAGAGATACAACGAGAGATCCGCCGATTTCAGTGCAGGCTTGCAGAAATTGAGGTAAAAACCTAGGGAGAGATTATCCTCGTCCGGGATCGGGAAAGTTGAAGAGGTGAAAGAGACGAGAATTTCAACCCCTTCAATATGGAGGATTTTAGTAATGGAAAAGAAAGACCAAGACGTTTCTTAATGTAATTTAGTATCAGAGGAGGCAAAGAGAAGAGCCAACATATGGATAACAGGAGAATATAAAGGTGAAGCTGGAGATCCAGTGTCAGTTCTTACTTGCATATTATAGACAGAAGGTCCACACTCTAGCTTCAAAAGTGGACAACCACATCACTGGACGACCATCAGGTTTTGCAGATAGAGCTCAACCTCAGGGTTTTACAACCAGATTACACCTACGAGAACACCTAAGATGACTCGGGGAGAACATGTGGAACCAATATGCATCCCTAAATCTATCACAACCGCAAAGTGTTGCAAGTGATATAGATTTGTGCATGTTGAATCCGACTACATAACCAGGGGTGATCTATTTCCCTGAGCAGAGTATTCTTGAAAAATTGGGTAATGCCACTGTAGACACTGAAAATGGTGAGGACACAAAGGTAAATGACCAACCTTCAATTGAGGGGGAAAAAATGCACATATCCCTTGGGAGAGACTCCAATCGACTTTATGATGAGTGTCCAAGGAAACCTTGAGTTTGAGGTATTGACACCAGAGGCATGACAATCTCTGATAAGAGAAAGTCATACCATCCAGATCTATAGACTCATTCATGAGTTGCTTCTAATAAGGGAGGGCCAACATGTTAGAAATGGGGCCCTTTTGTCCCATTTCGGGAGATTTCATGGAATTGTTTAGATGTTAGATTCAGTTTAGTATGGTGCTCATCGTCAGATGTCTAGACAGGAGGGATAAACCCCAACCTTGAAATTTATCTTAGGAATTTGATGGGAAAAGAAAAATCTTCTATGAGATCCAAGTCCTATCAGTGAATAAGAGGTCTCTCCTGAGTGGTTGCTAGTGAGAGTGACTTGACGGGAAAAGAAAAATCTTCTATGAGATCTAAGTCCTATCAGTGAAGAAGAGGTCTCTCCTGAGTGGTTGCTAGTGAGAGTGATATAATTTATCACAAATTTCACCCCAGAATTGATTCTCCTCGCATAATTGTTTATCAAATATATTTAGATGAATACTAAGAGTGGAAGCAACCAATTACATATTTGATGGCTCGAGGCTTAGTTCATGAGGATACTTATTCATGTACAGTTTCAGTTATGATTATACCAAAATATGATTTATACATATTCTATCAAGATGTGTTTTAGAATGCCAACACCACTAAGATTGACTTAGCGGGAGATTACAACTTTTCCGCCACCTTCAATGTAGTCAACCTGACGCCATATGATGAGTAGACAGAAACTTCGACAGGATGAGGTACAAGATCCCCTCAACCCCGGAAGATTGAAGCAGAAGTTTACCGCTGGATTTTGCAATCGCGGGGGACGAGCCAAAACAATCTCTTTTTCCTTTCTACGTGTTGTATCATGGCTTACAATTCAGTTTTTTGTGTGTTTTATATCAGGACAGCCACTAGCGTCTCTTCTTCCCTTCAAGGGTTGTATCCTAGGGTTCCAAGTGGTGTTTCGGTTGTATCTTGATTTCCATGTGGTGATTTTTCGTTCCCACATCGCACCTCACCGCTCCATCTCGTCCTTCCCGCTTTGCCCCATCGCTTCCATCATCTAGAAAACAGTAAACCTGCTGTTTTCCTGCTGTCCTCTGACTATTCTAGCCTCTTCAACTGCGCCTTGCTGCTGCGCTCGCCACCTCACCTACTGCCATGACTGTCCCAGCATTTGCTTTTGCCTATTGTAGCCAGGTATGTTGCTTCATGCCATAAATTTATGCTTGGTTAGGCAATATTTTTATGATTCCACTGCTTATAACTCCGGTAAGTTTATTTTTTAAATGGTAGAATTCTCTTTGATGATTCTAACGCCGAACCGGAAGGGACATGAACTTGGGAAGTCATTACCTACAATTTGCCAACCATGTTTGTTTTACCATCTCACATTAGCCAACTTTTGCTTTCATTTCAATTGTAGCTTGAGCTTTGAAGAGGAGACATGAATGAACTCGAGTAAGAGAGTGATATGGGGCTATCATGATAGAATTATAAAAGATATTAAAAAGATGAAAAATATAAAAATAATAACTAGATAAACTAATCTTATGCTTAAACAAGTATATTGCAACTCCCAAAAAGGTTTTATGTTTTACACTTGATCCAGATTCAAAATCTTAGAATACTCTTCGCATCTAGAATAATCATTTTTCTTAAATTAAATACTATCTCTTACATTCACTAGAATAAAATAATTATATGCACAAGGAATAACTATCAGCTAAATAATTGCTGATGAAGTGCTAACAAACTGCTAGCAAAATACTGATATATGTTAAACCTTAATAAATGATGAAATGTTCATGAAGTCTAAAAAAATTATGAAGTGAGACAGAATATAGAAAGCATAACTTGGCAAGTATGTGTACTCATTATTATCAAACCACCCGTACGCATAATGTATCCATGCTACTGAGAGGATTACTTGAAGAAAATTGCTTTAAAAATGATATTTTAAGGATGATTTAGTAATTATTGCATATCAAAAAGTTGTTTTTCTATTTTTTCATTGGACGGTCAGCATGTTATATTTTTTGGCGACTTCTCATGTTAAATGATTGGGTTCTTACAAATGCAGTTCAGTGGAGATTAGTCCTTCTCTGGCAAAAAGACAATTAGAGACTGTTGGAGAAGTTTCAAGTCATCTAAATCGGTACAGAGTAGAAAACCGGGATGCGTTAGATAGAAGTGGATGTGAGTAAGCCGCAGCTTCTTTTGTTAACTTTGTTCACTCTATTCGTTTTTTAATAGGTTAATAAAGGAATTGTGAATAAGATATTGACACCAGTAGCATGAATAACTTTCACTGATTTAATCCAATCTGTTTAATTTCTATTATATCTGTAATTTGAATGGTTCTAACAGTAAGTTCTAAATATTTTATGGAAACTATGTACTTTGAACTGCTTTTTGAAAGTTTCTTCGTTATGATATTGTTTAGCTTAGTTGGCTTGCAAGATGAAAGAAATTCTAATATTTTGTTAATTTTTGTAAGTGAATTAAGTTATAGAAAAGCTTTAGGGATGGCCTTAAACGTGTCATATCATTTTCGTTTTATTTTTGTTGTAATGGTTGAGGACACCAATGGGGAAGGGGAAACTGTGAAACCGTACAAGTGTCTTGTAGAATTTGAAGATAAGACTTTGAAAGGTGTTTTGCAGGAGTTTCTAAAATTAATAATTTTTCAGATTTGAGTAAATTTACATAATGGAATTAGAAAGTTTAAAAATAAGTTTATTTAATTGAAGACAAATGTAAAACACCAAGATAGATGAAATCGTGCTATTTTGGAGTTTGAACTTTCAATGCTTTATTTGCTTGTGTAGGGCAGTCATATTAGTGAACATGGCGATGACTATATGATGAACTATATTGCATGTAAAAATTAAAATAGAAAAAGAAAAGAAAGATATTTGTTTTCTCACAATAGTGGCAATTCTAGGTATTCTACAACATTAAATAAAAATGTTTAAGCTGATTGCTCTTTTAATTTATGCAGGGCATGTTGACCCCAATCCTTGTTGGGTTATAATGCTTGAGGTATTATTTGCATTATGTGCTGCTTTTAATTTGCATTAATGGCTCTGCAGTTATTTTCATGCAATAAATTCTGTACTGAAAACTGATTCATCTCATCAAGCAATTTTGCTTCGGGAACCAAAATAGCTGTACATGTTAAACAATAGGTAAAATTGAAGTGGATGAAGCATATGGACTTAGAAAGTACTTGCAATTCTAAGGATATGTTAAGCTGATATTCTCAAAATTTTAACGTGTTGTATGTTGGATTCTTTCATAAGAGTATTCTAACATAAAAGGAAACACATGAGAGACAATACAATTTTTTCTTGGAATATCCAAAAGATAAAAACCACATTGAAACCCTAAATTTAAAGTCTATTCTTTGCTGTCGGAGAGATCACAGTCTAGGGGTTCTAATGTAAATGTAATATGAGATGCTTCAAAATAATGCAATTAACCCAAAAAAATTGCTGTTACAATCTTTTAGCCTTTGGCAATTATTCATAACCTTTGATGAAAATTTAAAAATTCACTACTGAAGGTATTGACCAGAAATTAAGTATTTATATGACCATGTAAGTGTTTTAAAATGATGCATTTATGAAAACTAAATTGTACAAATCTGATTAAAATCCATTATGCATTCATGCCAGTAACAAAATATAGAATAAGAAGATAAAAAGTTTTGAAAGAATTGATAAAACAAGAAGCATGCTTCTAGTGTGTGCAAGGTCATGATCTCTCCCAAAACCATTGAAATCTCTCATTTCTGTAATGAATTGGATAAGAAAGTAAAGCATATAATACAACCAACTAGAAATTTTAATCAAATATTAGTTATAATTATTATCATAAAGCCTTGTAGAGAATTTCTCTCAGCTGACAATGTTTAAAAAGCATTCATAGGCCTTCATCGTTTTCACGAGATAATTGACAAAACATAGGATTTTCTCATCGTGTTGGAAGAACACATATAAGTACTTATTTTTGCATTTTACCCTTGCATTGAACTACATATGATTGCCAACATTTTTGGCTTTGGCTGCATTTTACCTTGAATGTGTGAGATCATGTTGACGAGATTGTGACAAAGCGATGAATCTGCAAGGATGGGGTCAAAAAACAAATTTTCTTTATTTTTTTTTATTTTCCTCTTTTTTGTTTTTTTTTTGGGTTTCACATTTATAAGTTTTTTTTTATTATTTTCCTCTTTTTTTGAAACTCTTTTTTGTTTTTTTTGGGTTTCACATTTATAAGTTTTTTTTTATGTTCCTTCATCTCTCTCTCTCTCTCTCTCTCTCTCTCTCTTGCGGTCCTCAACACTATACAGAGAGAGAGAGGGTGTGTGTAGGTGAATCGGTGAGAATGAAATGGAGAAGGGGCTATGAGGAAAGGTTAGAGAGAGGTTATTTTGTGTAGGATTGTTGACCTCTGTATATGTAAGTGCAACTTAAATCAAATGTGTTGGATGAATCAAATGATGTACATGACGTCGCACGAAACATGCTCTCCGTTCGATCACCATCAAGACTATTCAAATATCGCTACTTTGCGAGAAGATCTTCATCAAAATTTTGAACTTACTAGGTGATGTTCCCACATGAATGCAGAGTATGAATTATGCCTGCATGCAAGAGTAACAACACGTATTTTGAGGCATGGGAGTGAAAAATTAGTTAAATGCTATAATCAAATTAGATAAAATTTTACAAAAATTATATATAAATAAAAATGGGTGGATTCGTTTAAATATATGGTTAAAAAGAACATTATAATAAATAAATATTTCTATAAAATAATATATATGTATTTGAAAATTGAATATAAATAAAAAAAGAAGAGAGATTTTATGTTAGTAATCAATTAACTAGACAAATTAAGTAAAATTTAGTTAAATTTGCTTTGATAAATTATAAATACATTACATAAATGTTTCAATAAAATATTTTTAATACAATGTTCTACGGGCTACTTATTTTATTTGTTAAATTTTAAATTCTGTCATTGTTTCCGATCTTTTATTGAGTTTTTGGAGTCACCGGCTTGTCTTATCGACGTCATATAATTCTTTTTCCAAATAAGTCTCTCTTTTGAGAGAAACTGGAAAGAAAGAAAATACGAAGAAATTTGACTAACAATTTTAAAAAAATGCGGAGAACTTTCAGAAGGTAAATTTCGTGTGATAGCCCAACAACGTATGTCCGAAACAAGATCGGAACGAAGATGCCTTCAAAACATATCTGCGTAGAAAACCCTATGAAAGCAACATACAACCTGAGATTCAAGTTCTTGTTCTTGTTCTGGGTTCAAGAGTACTCCCAAAGGAATGCATTACTTTGGTTAATTACATCTTCGAAGATGCCCAATAATACTCTCGATAAAAAACGTCTTGCTTACGAAATTAATGATATTCGGTTATTATTATATTTTTTTTAGGAAACCAAAGGATTTTAATCATCTCAAGTGGGAGAATCCTGATGCTTTCGACTTCTGTACTGGGCCACAGGCCAGAGGGTGAATCACCGTATCCACTATGGGTGGCGACGCTTAAGCATGCAGGGCCCACGAGACGATATCAACGATTTTTCAAGGGAATTGACTTGACTCAAAACTGGTGTCAACGAAAAAGGGAGGAATCCCTAAACATGTAGAAGTAGCCATGTCAATTTTCATTTATTTGTCATCCTAAGCTATGGAGACTTTAAGTCTAACTGGTCGTGAAGATAGTCAACCCAACCCGACTAGAGATCCCTTGTTAGCAATCCTTGAATTGCATCGTCCAAGGAGACCTCGGTAGCCTTAAGGTCAAAAGAAGGAAACTCTAGTTCCTATGACCCTTTAAGGGTTAGATTTTATATAAAATGAGACTTATACTCGTCAATTAAATGACAGAGATGTCGTTGGAGTGCAGAAAGAAAGGGGGACCAACTACAAAGCTAGAACTGCCTCATAAAAGACTTATGCCCCCATCTGGGTTGGGGGAACCTCTATCACTTTAGTCTATTAGACAACCTTCTATATAGAAAATTATGCTTGGCCAAGTAGATTAAAGTAGCACGGGGGCTCCTCACCGAAACATGCAATATGATATAGTTTTTTGCAATTAAATTTAAATTTGGAGACCTTATTAATATGACTCGGGTGATTTCCATGCATAAAACCGATTTTAAAACCGTTTAGAAGGCCATGCAGGAAAGTAATTGCAGAATTTAAATAGTTGAAAGATTTTAATCCTAAATTTTGATTTATATTGAATCCTCTATTATTAAAAATTATTTATAGAAAATTTATATTTAGAATTCTTAACGAGCCCAGATTGTAGTTTAGTACGAGTCCGGATAAACTACAAGCCAAGAAAGAGAAAATGCAAGCACACTTCAACAAGCAAAGCAAGCCAAACAAAATATATAGCAGACCGGTGCCGCTGGGTCAGGAACAAATTCCAAAAAAACAATAAAACAGCTGGACTTTGCAAATACTTGTCTGATCCTAATTCTATACATGAATTCAAGTTTAAAATTAAGTTATAGGACCCAAACAACTGTTCCTGTTCCTCGTCACATGATTAAGTGCGTCATACACCTCGGAACCCGTGGCCGTACTTTATTTCCGATATATACTCAATCCTAAAGACTATAAGCAAATACATAATAAAATAAAATAAAAAACTCGACCTGCAAAAGTTTGCACGGGTTATATTTTGCAACACATATGAGCTATGTCTGGCGGGAGGAGAGCATTAGCAACACCTGCAGAAAAGTGTTAGTTTTAAAATCACTACTTGCTTATCTTTTTTTTATGTGTGTTTAGGCATGACTCCCTGCAAGAAGACCACCCATAATATACTATTACACGTCTCAAACTCAGTAAACATGCAAAAATATCATACAAAAAAATGTTTGACTATGACAACCAATTCAACAGAGAACTATTGTCAGACATCAAAAATATTATATAGCATCCTAACCCTAGCCTAACACACATCTAACGAAACGTGTCCTAACATAGTATCTAAGTGCATGTGCAGTGCAAGAGTAAAGGCTAGCCGTATGGCTTTAACGTGGTCGCCAATTCCGACGCCTTCCTAAAGATCAAAGGGATCTAAAGTGTATCACCCAAATGGATTTTTAAAGAAGTTTGGCCTCACATATTTACTATTTGTATAATTTTTCAAATATGGTGGATATTATAAATAGAGAAAATATGATATTTTATTATTTTCAAAATTAGGACCATTAAAGGCGGGTCTGTGGCATGCAAGGTGCATACATTAGATTTCTTAGAACCTTGACACATTCATATTTGTGCTGGTCCTGATGCAATAACTCGCATTCTTCGGCGAGGTTTACTCGGCAAGCAATACTTGTTAAAAGATTTTGACATACACGAAGTCTCTCACTTAATGATTTTAATTTGCTATCAAAACATGCAAGCAAAATCCATACAAGCAACATGCTTCCACACCGTAATCGCTTAAGCGAGGTGCGAGCGATCACGACGAGCGCCGAAATTCAACTTTAACATCAAGCAACATGCAAATGACAAACTCAAATGCAAACAGACTGCACACTCATCGAGTTTAGGGCTTTATAACGTGACCCAACTCAAGCATACAACATGAATTATCTATGACATTTATGTGTGATGCCATAGGAGATGAGGCGGCAGGTCCTCCATTTAAGAAATTTGCACACCGACGGACTAGCTTTACTAGCCACCACTCACGGAAGATTTTACAATTATTAAACCACACACATATGGTGGCACATGTGTGCGATAATACTACAAATGTTGGTGCGCAAGGAGTCACCACATGCAAATGTCGAAGGAAAAATTTAATTTTTCATGCAATGATATTTAATATATCACATAATATTAAAAAAAATATATTTTATGCATACAAGTATGAAAGCAAGCAATTTACACTACATACAAGTAATGTGAAGATAAGTGCAAGGAAATGCAGCATGCAAAAATGACCGGTTGATCGAGCCTTGATGGCGAATTGAACCGGAGTGGTTTGGTTGATTGGACCTTGACGATCGATCGAACTAAAAATGTCCGGTTTTATGATCGAGTCTTGGTGGTCGATCGAACCAGGTTGGATGGTTTTGTGATCGGGCCTTAGTGATCAACCGTATCAAAATATTCAGTTTTATGATCGGACCTTGGTAGCCAATCGGATCAAAGTGTTCGGTTTTATGATCGCATCTTGGTGGCCGATCGAGCCGTAGTGGGTGGTTTTGTGATTGGGTCTTGGTGGCCGATCGAACCGTAAGGGGTGGTTTTGTGATCGGGCCTTGGTGACCGATCAAACCTATATGATTGATCGATCGAGCCTTAGTGACCAATCAAACCAAAGTGATTTAGTTGATTGGACCTTGGTGGCCAATCAAGTCCATTTGATCTATCAATTG